ATCACTCTCACTACGTATAATATTGGGGTGATTGTTTTGTCAATGTTGTCAATAGTGGAATGAAAATAATACTGTATCAATTAAACGTTCACGCATGAATTAATTATTCAATAATATTTTTGTTTTGATTTCATTCTATTTTATTTTCTGTCATGATGTGTCCTTTCCTTATTTCCAGCTTTTCTGCATAAATTAAAACCATGAACTAATAGATCATAAATAGACTGTTTACTGCGAACGTAAAAACAGAACAAAATAAAAGGACATAATGGCGTCAATACATCACGCGGGATTCGACAAGCGCGAAACTTTTTTGTGATATTTCAACGCTATATTCTAACTTGCTATAGCTATTTGATGATGGTCAATATAGATCAAGTAGAGATAACGCAGCGACATATTCCAGGAATATGGGAATTGATCAGTGAACTCCGAAATAGAGAAATTGAAGTTCAACATTAAATCATTCAATTATTGTAGAAAACGTTCGATTCGCGTCTTTCACGCATTACGCGAGATATCGCAGTAAAGGGAAAATTGCCTATCAATTGTTGCCCTTGGCAAATTACGAAGCCATAATAAAAACACAGCATGTATGAAGATTGTATTACTTTCTCAGACACGTGTCCTGATGATAAATTCCAGTGCAAAGGAGGATGGTGTGTTGACATAGATAATCTTTGTAACGGTTGGAATGACTGCGGAGATAAGTCCGACGAAGAGAACTGCACAGAATGTAAGTGCAGCTCATTGTTTACTCCATGTTAGTGACACACCCGACAACTCGCGGCTTTCTGGTGCGCAACTTATGCTTTCTGTTAAGGTCCGCAATGTTCGGGATAGTACGAAGGTGGTTCTCCGCAGTTGTCGCTCGCGTCGGCTTCGATATGGGTCCCATGTGAGTACTGCACGTGTAAAATACATTTCTGTTCACACAAAATAGGAAAGCGCGCGCGCAGCGAGACGACAGTGTCGTTTTAATTAAGTGCGTTGGGAATGCAAGTAATTGTCATTTCATGTTAATATAATTATATTGTCAGTTGAAATGTTTATTCTATCAATTTTATCAGTGTGTCCTGCTCAATACCAATGCGCATCTGGTGTATTTTTGGATGGTAACACGCCTGCGAAATGTATACCACTTTATGAGAAATGCGACAAATTTGTTGACTGTAGTGGTGGCGATGATGAACAGAACTGTGATTATGGTAGGTAATTATCAAGCAGTATGCCATGAAATACTGCACGAACTATGAGCACATAAAATAGATTGTGTTATATCGAGTGGTGCACGACTTCGGCGGGGTTATTGTTATCATAGCCATAGCAGTAATTTCGAGTATTGATTAGAAATGACAATAACACCGTAATAACATTCTAGTGCCGAATGCACAGGTGAATACTTTCAGGTCTAACCGGAAATGAAATCTGAGTGTTTTGACCTTTCGATCGTTGTCGTTTCAAATCGGTAGATTTTTTTGATGATCTATTTAATATTCAGTAAAAAGCTGATATTTTATTAGAGCATGAATTTGAATCATATCTCTTCTTTTTTATAACTATAGAAACATGAAGAATAAATACAGAAATAACTTGCATATGTTTGTCGTATTTGTGAAAAGTATTTCCCTAAGAAAAAATTAACTACGACCCAAATATTACTGTGTACATCTCGTACTATCTCGCGTTATTTGATGGAATAATAAATGAATATCGCGTTATTACATTGTAGTCCCGTAAGGTCGATCGGCTGTTTATCGGATTAAAAAGTTAAGTCCCAAAACAATTTACGTGGCTCGCATCTGATCAAAACAATGCTAGTCAATTGTTTAGTAGTTAGAAGTTTAATGTGCCCTGGAACTAACAATTTACTATTTTAGATACAGCAAGCTGCAGCATAAGATTTTTTTCATACTTTATTTTTTTGAGAATTTGATATATTTTATACATCGTAATAAACCTATTTCTGAATAAATGTTGGTTATCGAGCAGCACCGTGCCCACGACTACATCGAACCGCAAATTTGTTGACACCTAGATGTTCGCTCGACGCAACCATTGTAGACAGCAGTGCGATCCGGCTCCACTATGATTGCCCTTAAAATCACTTGTGTGTGTATTTTTTTGTGTCTTCACGTATTAGT